GTTATTTCCTTTATAGTTATTTCCTTTATAGTTATTTCCTTTATAGTTATTTCCTTTATAGTTATTCCCTTTATAGTTATTTCCTTTATAGTTATTTCCTTTTTAGTTATTTCCTTTATAGTTATTTCCCTTACAGTTATTTCCTTTATAGTTATTTCCTTTATAGTTATTTCCTTTATCGTTATTCCTTTATAGTTATTTTATAGTATCATCTGGTGGTCACTCAGCCTTCTGGCAACTTTGACTTTCTTTTCGTCTCTTGAAGGGATTACCGGCTCAGTGGTTCCTCCGTTTGAAGCACATTGGCAAGACAACTTGGAAAGTTAGTGGTGTATGTTGAGTAGCACCTCCTTATGTCCCACCACTAGACTACGTTGAGGTACGTTGTCGTCTGAAAATCTGTCATATAAAAAGCATCAAAATTCAGATTCGTTTATGTAGAAATGCATAAAAAGAGCAGTAATAAGAATCCGCGAAATTTATAAGTCGCATGGAACTGCTAATCCTTTGTTTGTGGGCAGCTTTATCCAGAGTGCTCTCAAGTTATTGAGAAAATTAAACTTTTATCATCGTTTTTTTTTTTGAGATGAATTTTGCTCATGTTGATTCGCTGCCACGCCGAGCTATATCACTGCCTGCAATTCCAACCTATGCCTTACGTTACATCGATAGCGACGATGAACTATTCAATGTACAAGCTGTAAGTAGTATTGCGCTCACTTGGCTCATGCCAAGATTCGCGAAAAAAGTGAAGCACAGTCGTAATTTGCGTAATTTAAAGTGATATAGCCAATTTTTTCTCACGCCATTGTTTTCTGATTTTGGTATCTTTCTACTCATTTTATTACTAAACACCCAGCTTAGTGCCTGACCGTTTTACTCGGCCTCACGATGGTAACGGGTATTTGGGCTTCTTGGGTCAACGGTCATTGAGAACTTGGTTCTCCAGCTATGCAACTGACCACTATTCCAGTTGCTTTGACCAGTGCTACAATTACCCGCTGGCGATTTTTGCTTTGCCCTGTCCCCTGAAGGAATTACCAACTTCTTCCGGGGGAAGAATTTGGCGGAATTTAGCAGTTTCGAAATACCCTTGATGTGTATTTGATGCCATCACCTCACAGTTAACGTTGGCGCGAACTTATCAACTACGGATTTTTATTAAATAACAAAATAGAAGTTGGCAACAAAAGTTAGATAAACAAATGGGGATGCTAAATTTGAGATAAGACTTTTTGAGGATTTTTGTTGTGGTTCTGATTTACGCATATTTGTCTGGTAGTAACGTAAGACACTTCGACCATATACATCGCTTTTTGTGCAAAAATGTATAGTCGAAGTGGAAATCTGTCTCCGTATATCTTTTTCTTTGAGAGATAGGCACACAGAAATGGCATGACCACTCGTTGTGATGTTCCCTCTAACAGAGAACACTTCCCTCTTTTGAGGATTTCTTGAAAATCGTTTACTTCTGATGGAATTCATATCAAAA